CAAAAAACAAACCAAATACACAGAATTTAAAGATAAAATAAAGATAAAATAAAGTATACAGCTCAGGATTTGATGGTTGACTTGATTTCCTTTTACAGCAGCGGTCTTCAGGGACGACAGGCTAACCAATTTTATCTCACTTCAGATCCAAAGACGTGTGCAGATAGCTGAAGACACAATATCAGATATATTTTACCCAGAAATGTTGCACCTGTTGACCACTTCCACTTCTTTTTAGCGATGCAGCCGCACTCACAGATCTCAACGGAGCGTTATCAGATTGGACCGACGTCAAACTTACCGAAGAAAAAGTCAAAACCTTGAAACGCATTTACGAATCTCACTTATTTTGATTTAAAAAAGGTCCAGTGTGTATGATTTAGAGGAGATTACAACCCATTAAACACGCTAAAAACGGGCGTATATAGAGCCAGTGTTTGGTTTGTCTGTTCTGGGCTACTGTAGAAACATGGCGGCCTCAGATTCTCATATTCAGGCGATTACACACGAATGAAAACTATTATTTTCCACCAGTAGATCCTCCTAAATGTTACACACTGCACCTTTTACGAATGCTTACCGAGGAGATGACCCAGCTTTAATTACGACTCTTTCTCTCCACAACGTTAAATCTCCCAAAAAAAGACCTTTTCTTTAGGTTCTTTATGCAACTGGGCACTGGCCTGCAAAAGGCATTTTCATGTACTTTGTAAGTATTAAGCATGCACTTATGAGTTATTAATGAGCAAAAGATGTACGTTCGAGAGCAGAACCATTAAAAACTACATTCCAGAGCGTCTCCCTTTAAATGCTGAAGGACGGATAATGAGGAGAGCGAATGAGAAGGGGGGGAAACCTTCCTAAACCTCCTTATATTCGACTGTGGGCTTGCAGAGCGCTGGTATTCTCATAGAGATTAAATTCCCCTCACTCTGCTTCTCAGTTCGGGGTGGGCGGGAGAAAATAATAAAAAATAAAAACACTGGCTGCCTTGAAAAGGAGAGGCAGCTCTTCATTTAGCACGGTAAACAAGAAGCTTTGAAGTCAGCCATTTAAAATAGGATTTACATGAATAAATAAATCTTGTGAGCTCCAACACTGTTCATGAAATCGCATGAAAAGAAGGCAGACGGCTTTGGGAAATCATCTGTGATGCTGACACACACACACACACACACACACACACACACACACACTATTGACAGGTTACAGTCTGGGAATTATCAATAAATACCACCTGCTCTGCTCTTTTGCTCCGCAGTGATTTAATATCAGCATTCATGATCTTGGGAAGTGTTCCAAGTATAAATGTCATTGCCTTTCTTTGATGAGATGAAAAACAATGAGAGTTTATATTAAAACACCCTTTTATTGATGCCATCGCTCATTTCGATGACTCCTGGCATCTCACAAAGCCTCTCTCGGTCCTAAAAGTGTATGAATGAACAATGAGATCCTCTTTTTTTTCTGTGTTTTGGCGTTGAAGATGTGCTTCACAACCTTGTGCTTCACATCTGTCCATGTAAAGTATAAAAACAAAAAAAATCATAATAAAGTTAAAAGTAATAAAAACGTTCACGTCCTCCGTAGGGATGGGGTTCGATAGCAGTTTATCGAATTCAAATCCAGTAATCGAATCCACTTATCAAATCAGAATCCCTTTTTCCGAATGGCATTAAAGATGTTTAATCGGCTTTCGTTGGCTGAGAAGGCAGAAACACGAATAATTTGAGCAGCGTAATAGAGACGTTACAGATTTAACATTAACCAGTCTCTCCAGGAAGCTGCGATCGCGACAATTAACGCAAATTTAAAACAACTCCTCGTGAATTCTACGCAACCTTACAATGTTGTACAATCGTCACCGTAGTGTTCATCGAGTTTCACCAATCGTAACTGTCCCTCGCACACTTTTTCCTGCAGTTTCAATGTTTTAAACAGAAAAGTCGCCTTGAAATCAGGCATTTTAATTCAATTCAGTTTTATTTGTGTAACACCAAATCTTCCCGATCTAGACTGTACCAATTATAAAATTATTAGACCCAACAATTACCAACAAAAGGCCAGTGAAATCCTGGAGGGACTGACTAACTGGCTACAGCGACAGAAGCTGCTTCCTGTAGACGAATCAGAGCTGGAGGTGGCACCGCACTTTTTTTTGTCCTTTTCCTCAAGAAACCTGTCCAGGAGATCAAACAGTAAGAATATCTTCATCAAATGCCGTTAAATAAAGCTAAGAATCTACATTTTATGATATTTAGTCCAGTTTTCACAGCGACAAAACGTCTTTACTGTTATCGGACTTATAAAAAAAGCCCGTCTATTCGTCTGTATCGGGAAAAAAAAAAGCAATAAAAAGAGAGTTTGATAAGAGATTCATTAGGTTAACGAATCCGGCTATCGGAGCCCATCCCCGGTCCTCTCTGTCCTCAGCCGCCTCGCTATCTCTGCTCTGGTTACATTTGTGTGTCATGGATGGAGAACAGAAACGGACGACTGCAGTGCTGCCTGGCTCTGGATCAGTCTTTGCTTACATGATTGTGACAGCCACCGTTTGGTTCCACGTCTCGGAAGACCTTTTCAAAAACCTTCATCCTCCGTCATCCTCCCCTTCCTCCTCGAGCTTATCGGTACGGCGGTTCAGGCTGTTGAGGGTTCGGCCTGTAAAGCTGCTGCACCCTCACCGGCCGCCCGTGGGCCGGCCAGCCGCCCGGTAACTGTCCGATGACCCTGAGGCCGACCGGCTGGCCGTGTCCTGGAAGTGGGGTGCTGGGGCTGAGGATGTGGGTCTGTCCCGGCTGCGGTTCAGGTGGAGGGGTGCTGCTCGGATAGCTTGGAGCCGAGGCAGGGGGAGAAACGGGGTAGTGAGGGAGGAGGATGGCTGGCGTGAGGCCGTAGCGTACCTGGAACACTCTGAGAGGTCCCTGCGCCACGAAGCCGTTGGGCCGCTGGGGCTCCGGAGGCTGCTCCGAGTCCTTCCTCACGTCGGGGACTTTGCTCTCCTCCGCTCTCTTCGTTTTGCTCGGCTGCCGCTTGGCCTGGGCGACCTCCTGCATCTTCTCCGCCTGAGCCCGGCGGATATGATACGTCTTCCTGGAGCTTTGGAAGGAGTCCAGGAACTCATCCAGGCTTACGTTTCCCTCCATGAATTTCTCCAGCAGCTCCTGCGAAGCGGAGAAGACAAATAAACCGGTATCAGCACACAGGACAACACACAAAGGGAGGTCCAACCGCGGGGGGAAATCGTTCAAACAACCTCCTCTAAGTATAAAGAGGATTTAATCAGCTCTGGGATGTTTACTCATGAACCCTGGCACAGTTTGCCGGCCGCAATATTTCACTGTAAGTACATTTTACACAGCTAACAGCTTCATGTGCCGCAACTGTTACATTTGGCAAAAACCTTGAAATCCTTGTGATCTGTCTTTGTATGTGTTCCCAGGATGTGAGATCCTCGTCTGGTTCTCGGACAGAAGTTATATCTGTGATGTAAATCAGCTGCATTAAACCACTGGGATTGTTTTAAAAGCCACTTGTGATTTAGTTTAGTTTTACAGGGCGTGGGATTAAAGGGGAGGGTGTTCACAGTTTGGTCAGTTAATTACATTCTGCGTGTTCACACAGGCCAACAGTGTGAGGTTTGTAGCCAAAATGTAATGCTTCTTTATGTGTGTTTACTTGCAGTGAAGTAACCAGGATACGGTTGGTTCTGCAGTAACCTGATTTCTTAGATGTCATGTAAATGAGGGTTAAAGGATTAGAGAAACACGGCTGCACTTCGGCTGGTGGAATTTCATGATTTCATGGTCCTGTAGACACACAACCAGGTTTCTTTCTTCTTTTTTTTTAACATAAAAACACGTGCATGACTCCGTAAAGGGTATCTCTATCTGCGAGATCAGCATGGTTGGATGAAAGGAAAGATCAAATACTCAGCTGTGTGTCTGTATTTCTGATAATTTCATGCAAAGTCTGACTAAAAGTGAAACTTACACAAAGCTGCAGGTGTCTAAATTAGTCGATTACAACTCAGAAATAGTTCTGGGAGGAAACACTGTACGAGACGTCTGACTGTGCAGCCAATTCAAAACGCTCTGATCAAGATAAAGATTCACCAGCTGAAATCGAATGGCGTCAAATGGTTTGTCTTATTTCCTCAATCTGATAAAAGGAAACCATTCTTGCTTATGATGTGTCAAATATGTCTGTGAACAGCGACCGCAAGTCAACGTTGACAAACTGTGTGAAGGAGCTGAATTGTGAACTAATAATTGATTGTTGGCATAAAATAATGAAACATTCTCTACAATAGCTAAATGAAAGTTTAAAGGCATTTTTATTCACGAATTAAAAACAAACCAACTAAATTACCTGTGTTTGTACAGATGTTGCTGTATTTATTAGAAAAACTACAAACAGAATGTTTTTAGTCACAATAATAAGAGAACTATTTAGACTAAAGGACGAGTTTTATTGTTCAAAGTTAGCTTAATATATTTATGAAGTGCGGATCTTGACACAATTTACTCAAATGATACAAGAGCCAATATATTATCTCTATCGTATGTCGTCCAGTATGTGCAGATAAAACAGTTATATAGTTTAATATGTTAAAGAATATCTAACTTAAATAGTATTTAATAAATTGTTGTTTAATTGTTGTTTACAGCGTCAGATTTTCATTACAGCTCAAAAATGCATCGTATCGGTAACCTGTGAATTATTCTCATCAAAAATCGGCATCAGCGTCAAAACAACCATATTGATCGGGCTCTAAAGGATAAATTATCTATACTGGATACTCGCTGCAGCCGAATATCAACCCTGGTTCTTCACCCGCTCTCTCCACCACCAGATCATTAACTCACACTCTGTGGTAGTTCACGTCTCAGGCTCCTTCAATTGTATATTCATGTTTTCTCTGCTCTCGTGTGTTTTTTTTGGGATTTGCTAACCTTTGTTCTCCTTGTGCCTGAGATCATTCTCTGCCTGCCAGCCTTTGTTCTCTGCTCTGCTTCGTCTCATCAGCCCACAGCTCATCCCCTCCCTGCCTTCATCCTCTGGAGTTCCCCCTTCGAACGCATATTCCCTTTTAAGATTGGACAATAAATTACTTTTCTTCGTCAAGCCGACCTGCGTCTGCGTCCGGCTTTAACTTCCTCCCCATCGATTGACAACAGACGAGCAACTGGTTTGACATGGTTAGCTGTTCATCTGATATAGTTGGATTGCGACTCATGATTAGTTTCATTAGCGATTCATCGATTTCTCAATAAAATGTCAGAATATTGTGAAAAATGACAGGTGACATATTCAAATATTGAGTTTTGTATGAGCAGCAGCAAAGAAAAACACCTGAATAATCAGTTTACTATCATATAAGAGAATAAAAAGCAGCAAATACTCACATTTAAAAAAAAAAACCTGGAATCAGCGAACTCTGTTACTTTCTGACTAATCAATTAAATGTCAATGTTCTCGTGTTTTAAGATGTTTCATGTTGATTTAGCGACGTACCTCCTCCTCGGAGAAAATAAAATATATTCTATTGACTCCAGGGCTGCACAATTAATCAAAAACATTAACAACATCACATTATAGCCCAGTGCAATATGCAAATCTGAGAAGCTGGGCAAGAAAAATGTGCCAGAACATCATTATAACAAAGTACTGTACTTCTGAAGAGATTCCCTGGGATAAAAAAATCACATCATAATGATTTTAATTGTTTTTTTACAGTGAAAATTCAATTTGTGATGCAAAAATTACGTAATATAATAATCCAAATATGTTCTTGTTACCATATCGTGCAGCCCCGACTCAGCGTTTTGCTCATTTTTTGCATTTATTCTCCATAACAATGACAATTAAACAAAGAAATCAGCAAAAGCTCAATCTCGATGAGCTACTTTATTGGATGTCGAGTTTATTTTCGCTGCATTTTAACTCGAAGCTGAGGCAAGAGGAAGGAGAAACTCCAGTTGTGTCGTGTTGTCTTAAATACTGCATGACTCAAACCCAAACACATACCGGCACTATACTGAAAGTTTAATGTGAATCAATGTGAAGACTCAGCTGTAGCTTTGGCTCTTTTTAGTGTGTGTGTGTTTTACACTTCAATGCAGATTATTGTTTGTACACTCCAGATAAAATTAAGTGAGCTTGTGCAGGTAACAGCTGTCGTGTAGAGACAGCGAGACCGATAAATTCGCTGCGACCTGAGGTTATTTGAACGGCGTCCACGACAGATGGAGAAGCTCACGGTGGGGGAAAGACACGGTGGGAGGACGTGTAATAAACCAGAAACCCCCCCCCTCAAATCACATGACATGGTTGACCAGTTTAAGGACAGTGAACGAGGTCATGTGAGAAGATTTGGTCTCTTCTTTAAGGATGAGTTCAGTGTTATTCTGTATTTTTCTCAGAACCAACGATGGATTGATCCTGTTCAAAGGTGATTTCTAGATGTGATTATCAGCTTCTTTAAAACAACAGAAAACTGGATTTTAGTGCTCATAAACAGACACTATTAAACAGCAGGTCAGCATACGGCAACAATCAGTGTTTACGTGAGAGAGAAAACCGGGTCACTGGGACAAATCAGGTTACACGGGGCGTTTAGATCAGAAATAATCGATCAGACGGAGCAATCAGTGGCAACTATTTTCTGCTTTTCTGTTGTGATAAACTGAATATAGCTGAGAGAATAATCTGTGGATTGATAATGCAACCCTTGATACAAATATATCAGAAATGAAATACAACATCGATCTGTCGTTTAAGTTGTTTCTCTCTCACATTGTTTACTTTGTTTTGATTAATAAATAAAATGCCATTAAACTTGTTTTTTGTCCAGAAGTAGCATTTTAATTTAGTTTTTATTGGTAAATGTCAACACAATTTTTCCTTATTAACAGCTAATTACCGTTTGTTTATATCTCCAAACTTTTTCTCTCTTTATTTACAGTAACCTGAACTTTTTAAACATTTAAAAAGGTCCAGTGTGGAACATTTAGAAAGATCTATTGGGAGAAATTAAACATAATATTTACAGGCACGTATAATCACCAGAATATAGGAATTGATTGACTGCTTTGAATCAGATTATCAGATTAAAAAAGGACCAGTTTGTAGGATTTTGTGGCATCTAGCGCTGTAGTTTACAGGTTACAACCCTCTCGCCTCACCCTACCGATCCAAGCGTGTAGGAGAAACTACGGTGGACACGAAACTTGGTAGAAAAACGCTAAACTGGAGGTGGGCGGGGCTAAATTGACCTGAAATAGATATGGGTTGATGAGAAGTTGCTATAATTATTAATTATTGATAATATAAAGAATTGGAAATTTAGCTTCACAATGTTTTCAGTCACAAGAATAAGGAACTATTTAGACTAAAGGGACAAGTTTTATTGTCCAAAATTTAGCTTAATATATTTACAAAGTACGAATCTTGACACATTTTACTGGAATGATATAAAATAATAACCACCTACTGTAGAAACACGCCGGTTCAACATGACGATTTGCTCCTTCGGCAGATAAAAACAGCTCATTATAAGGCAACGAAAACACGACACAACAAGTCAAGTGTTACACACTGGACCTTTAAGAGAATAAGAGAAACCCAGTGGACGCAGTTGAGTTCTGCTGGATAATCCTTAATTATTAATATATACACACAGTTTTCTGAAGGGGTTTTTGTATGCGTGTGTACACAAAGGAGAGCATCACTTTGGCAGCAATGCAGCCCCTGACAACCTCAGTCTCTCTTGGCTGCAGTCCAACAGCTTTAACACATAATCAGCACGCCATTGAGAAAGTGAAGCCGTGAACTCGAGTTCAGCCAGTCTGCTCTCGGTCCAGCACATATCTGCACAAATACAAAAAAAACAGGCTTATTTCAGAGGTCATTTTTAACTACAGAAACCCTCCCCGAGAGGGATTTATACTCGCACTGAGGAGAAGTTTAAGTTTCTCCATCAGACATGCGTTTTCATGTCGGTACCTGACGAGGAATCTTCCTAATAAGGAAGCCTGTTTGACTTTAGGCGACAGAGTAGAGAAGAAGCTGTTGGCCGGAGTCTTCAAAGGGAGGGATTTCTGTCTGACGACGACGAGGAAAAACATGCTTTTCCAGATTTTCATGGTCAAACTACTGTGAAAAAGCATCTGAATTCAGACTGTGGATGTTTTGGAAACCGCTGTATGTGTCGCACAGATAACGATCACATAAATCAAAAAGCCTTTTGGCTGAAGCAATGACCCTCTGAGGGCTTAATGTGAGACTACTGAGATCAGAAGAGATAGTCACAGAACAGGAGACATAAGAGAGACGCCTTTGTATTGATTCAGCTCTACTAAAGCAGAGTTATGCAGCACACACCTACACGCAGACGAGTGTTACTTTAACGACTTTAAGAACATGAATTAGTGTCAATCTTTAATTAATTAATTAAGAATAACCGAAGGTGTAAAGTAACAGACGTGTACCAAACGTGTGTCCGACTCAAATGTACTGAGGCGTTTGCTCTCAGCGTTCAGTCAGCCAGGCTGTTCGAGGTGTTGTTTTAATCAATCAGTGGACAGCCGCTCTAATGACTGAGTCATGGTGGTATTGATCGGAGCCGTGTGAGGTGTGGGGAGGTGGAGGGGGGAGGTGTGTGGATCAATCCCAGCCCGGAGCAGCAGCAGTGTGGGTTTCACGTGTGAATAAGACTCCCTCAATGTCCCGATGAAGGCCATTTTATTAATATTGTGAGTCTCTGAAGGTTTTTGCAATTTATACCATGCGGATAAATGATGCAGTCTCTCCAAAGCTACCAGACGTTGTTGTATTCCTACCTTTTATTCACAGTGCAGACAAGTAATAATAACATAAAGAAACATTTGATTTCACCTTTAAAGTCGGATTCTGGAGCCAAAATTCACCGCAGTCGATTAAAAAGTCAATCAATCAATTGCACGAGAGATTTTTAAATTCATTTTTAACATTTTCTAATACTGAATGAGAGAAAATGTCAGTTTGACAGCGTCAGGGTGACAGAGACTCAACATAAGCCACTGCCGTGATGGACAGACTGACATTTAGCATCAAAACGGACTAATGCTGAGACTTTCAGGTGTTTTAAGTGGTTTAAAGTTATAAACCTTAAGACTTTTATCACATCATTCCCAATTTTTCTGGGGTTTATTCTGTCTTAGCAGTTCAATTTCCCTTCATTTGTTACCTCGTTACGCAGCGGTTTCACATCGTCAGCGGCGGAGTCAGCCATTCCCGCCCACACTGGATTCAAATGACACTTGCACATTCACATAATGGTTGTTATGGCTACAGCGATTGTAAAGCAGACGTGATGATCCAAGAGTGTCTTCGGCTGCTCAAAGTGCATTTCCTGTCTGATCCTAAAAAGCTGTCATATGAACTCTGTGACTTCTATTGTTAAGGCGCGTTACCAACGATTATATTGATGCCGAATTGACACGGAGACAACCGACAAATGACGGCTTCAGCTCGTGTTTGTAGTCACGTGTTGTTACGGACACATTAAGATTTGTTTAAATGTGATATTTCTTAAAGGGAGTTTGACTCAGGGAGCTTTTAAACAGTACGTTTTGTCACCGTTACAGAAACACTAGGAAACTGCTGAAGTATGATAATTTTGTCTGACGTTAACTGCTGTTAGTGTGATTAATGGTTTAATAATGTATTGATTACTGACGCTGGCTGATCAGGCTAATTATCAGCTTATTGCACTCAGTTTCTAGCAGCACTATGCCATAAGTGGTTGCTCTTTGATCATGTTTTTAATTAAACGTGACACCCTGTGAAAAATCTGTCTATAATCCATCATAATAAAGTCTAATATACGTGTCAATAAAGATATTCGAGGAACACTGATCAGATATGTTGTTATATATCGGTCCAAAAACCTCCACAGCTGCTATTCAATCATAATTAGACGAAATGTAAAAATAAGTTTTCTAACTATAGCTGTGTGTGACGTCTTGTGCTGTGTGACACACACTTGTCAAACATGTACATGCATGTTACAGAAACAGCGTAGTGTTGTGATGGGAGCCTACAGGCGAGCATCAGTGAGCTCACAGAGGGAAACATGAGAAAATGAACTTACAGCCTACACCCTGCTGTTTGTACTCTTAATGCTACAATAACAAGCTGGTCATCCTCGCTCAGCTTGAGTCGTCAGACGGCTTCGAATGCGTCAAGGTCACCGGATAATCCACTTTATATTGGGTTAGAGGTTTCCTAATTCTGCTCCCATCAAAACCCAAGTTGTTTTTAATAATCTTCATTGGGAGCTATTTCCTTCCCAAAAGGTTGGAGGAAAAAAAGGGTTCACAGTGAGGTTCGAGGATTATTGTGAGTAACTAGGATAATGTTTGTCAAAAAGCTGGTTGTTTTGAGCTTTTCAAGTGTAATTTACAAATAAAACAAAACCTACAGTATCTGCATGGAAAGACACCACCGGGACTAAAGAGGAGAGTACGATTTGTGATTTGGCCAAATGTGTTTGCAGTTCGGCGATTCTGGTATTTGAAGTGTTTCCAACCTTTTGCTGCATATTTCTGTTTTTGAATTTAATCTAAATTTAATTAATTGCAAGGTTTGAACAAGAGAGCATAATTACTACAATGACTGACACATAAAATCAAAGGCAGGATCAATGCTGTCAATAATAGTCTTATATTAGTCATATTAGTCAGTAAGTCATATTAGTCTTTTTATCATTTTATTATTTAATTAGGATTTATGGACATTCAGGACTGAGCAGAAACGTGTGCTGTTACGCTGTGAAATTACAACTTTAGCTAACAGAGCTGGAGCTAAAAGACCTGTAGTTAACGTAACTGTAGTTAACGTAACTGTAGTTAACGTAACTGTAGCAAACGTAACTGTAGTTAACGTAACTGTAGCAAACGTAAC